ATAGATGATAGACAGACAGATAGACAGATAGACAGATAGATAGATAGATAGATAGACAGACAGACAGATAGACAGAGGAGATATATATTTTATATTTTTAAATCATTTACTACTAGTAAACCTTTTTTCATTGGTTGAACAAATCACACTTAAATTGACAAAAACAAAAATCTCTAATTTAAAAAAAAAAATTATTCATATAAATTCATATAAATCAATGCTTCAATTTCATATAACTCTGTGGCATACAACCAAAAAAAAACTGAATATTTAAAGATTTTAAGACATAAGACAAATACAAAAGAAATACGCAGTATTCTCAGATTTGCACAACATATCTCAGGATGCTTCATGTCATGTTGCATAATATAAAACATCAGCTTTCCACTGATCAGCCTCCTCTCTCCTGTGGAAAAAAAGAGGAAAATAAATGTGAAAAATAAATGAAAACATTTAGTATTTAATCAATTTTGAAAGAATAGTTCACCCTAAAATCCAAACATCTGTCCAAAACCATATTGTGGAGTACAAAAGATAATGTTCAACAAGAATCTTTCAAGAACACTTCAGAATGTCAAGGAAAAGTGTCATTAAGCCAAAAATATGTAACCATTTTTGTTCAACTTTCATGTTCATTTTGAATAGCATGCAAGAGAGAGAGATGCATGAAGATTTGAATGAGTAAACATGACAAAACTTTCATTTCACTCATACTTCAGTACTCCGCAGTTCACAGACTAAATCCATTGGAAAGCCTGACGTGTTTCGACACATCTCGTGCAGAACTAAGTATAGCATCAAACCACAGACGGACTCATGCTGCTCAAGAGCAGAAGCTGGACAGATGCTTTCCTGAATCTGAATTCTGGCTGACTGTGCTGTCATGACTCACAACAGCTTAGATTTTCCTTTAGCCACATTTAAAAAAAAAAACATGTATATTAAAGGGGTCATGATGCTGCTAAAAAGAACATTATTTTGTGTATTTGGTGTAATGAAATGTGTTTATGCGGTTTAAGGTTAAAAACGTCTCCACAACATGGCGGTGGTGGCAGCAAACAATACTACAGCGAGAATAAAGTTACGCCTTCTTTCTTTGCGTGAACATTTGTTCACATACCACATAGTGAGGTAGATATGTGGGGGCGTGTTAGAACAAGGTGTTTTAGGTAGGTGTGGCTGACTTAACTTTTATAAAGAATATCTCTTTGGATTTGAGACTTTAGTCGTGAACATTTGGGCGGCGTTATGCAAATCTTCCCACAGAGCGACGTAGGTATGTTGGGGCGTGTTAGAACGAGCCGTTTTAGGGGGGCGTGGACGAGTCTTAACTTTTATAAAGAATATCTCTTTGGATTTGAGACTTTAGTCTTTGCAACTTTACAGATCTTCTTTATGCACCAAGAGCTTGTAACACTCCAAAGAGAAAGGAACAATTGAAATCGCATCATATGACCCCTTTAAATAAAAAGACAATGCACAATTTATTAGCACCACTATCCCAGCACTTCCTCAACTTCCCCCATTCCTCTAAACCCAACTTCCTGTTGATGTAAAAGAGTCGGATCAGGCTACATGACTACTGAGAATATCTAGCTTAAAGGGGTCATATGATGTTGCTAAAAAGAACATTATTTTGTGTATTTGGTGTAATGAAATGTGTTTATGCGGTTTAAAGTTAAAAAAACACATTATTTTCCACATACTGTACATTATTGTTTCTCCTCTATGCCCCGCCTTTCTGAAACGCGTCGATTTTTACAAAGCTCATCGTTCTGAAAAAGCGAGGTGTGCTGTGATTGGCCAGCTATCCAGTGCGTTGTGATTGGCCGAATACCTCAAGCGTGAGACGGAAATGTTACGCCCCTCACCATACTGTTGTATTCCCTCAGCGACCAGCACGGATCAGCTCTAGGCATGACGAAGCGGATATCGTCCTCTTTTGGAAGAACAAACAAAGTAGTTTCACTTTCACAACAAAGCACACAGCGTCTTCACGACATGGCAGCGGCAACAACAATACTACAGCGAGAATAAAAGTTACGCCTTCTTTCTTTGTGTGAACATTTGGGCGGCGTTATGCAAATCTTCCCACATAGTGAGGTAGATATGTGGGGGCGTGTTAGAACGAGGCGTTTTAGGTAGGCGTGGCTGACTCTTAACTTTTATAAAGAATATCTCTTTGGATTTGAGACTTTAGTCCTTGCAACTTTACAGATCTTCTTTATGCACCAAGAGCTTGTAACACTCCAAAGAGAAAGGAAAAATTGAAATCGCATCATATGACCCCTTTAAATGAGTTTATATTTAAATAGTTAGAGAAGCACACAGAAATACACAAATGAGTCCAGATGAAACGTCACAGCGATGTGCAAGAGAATGTTTCTTTCTCTTTATTTCCATTTCAAAAATAGAGTTTCACAACACATATTGATTTCATGCTGGCTTATTTCATTACTGCCAGTCACTCCGTCTCCAAAACAGCAGAACATAAACAATCATAAAATGCAGGGTGTCTACAGATATGAACAAGTTCAATTTAAGACTTAAGAACTTTTTAATGATGTGAAATTTAAGACCAAACCTGTGATGGAAATACACATGATATTACATACGTATGTAATATTTAAAAAGAAAACAAAATAACAAGCTGTCAAAAATGCTATTTATTATTACGATATACAGTGAACTTAGCAATATTTTCTATCAGCTTTTACATACTTAAATCTGCATGTTTTTAATATTTTATTTACCCCAAGATGTTATTTACCTTTATAAAGGCCCCCCCCCCACATTTAATATCACGTAAATTCATCCGCCGCACTTTTTCAGGCAAGTGTGTTTGCATAGAGGTTTCCAAGAGCTGGTGTGAATAAATATAGATTTAAATTCAAAGAGACAGGATAGTCTGTGCATGATCTGATGTTTTATTCGGACCCAGAATAAGGCGATATGAACATCACGGAGCGCAAAACACGTTTCATTCATACTCGAAGCCGGAGGGCGATCTCGCGCAGAAAGTCATACCAGGAAATCCCTAATATGGACAAAATAGAAAAATTGAAGTTGCCTATACACTACCAGTCAAAAGTTTTTGAACAGTAAGATTTTAATGATTTTAAAGAAGTCTCTTCTGTTCACCAATTTATTTGATCCAAAGAACAGCAAAACAGTAACATTTTGAAATATTTTTACCATTTAAAATAACTGTTTTCTATTTAAATATATTTTAAAATGTAATTTATTCTGCGATTTCAAAGCTGAATTTTTAGCATCATTACTCCAGTCACATGATCCTTCAGAAATCATTCAAATATTCTGATTTGCTGCTCAAAATTTTTTTATTATTATTATTATGTTGAAAACAGCTGAATAGATTTTTTCAGTTTTCTTTGATGAATACAAAGTTCAGAAGAACAGCATTTATCTGAAACAGAAATCTTTTATAACATTATAAATGTCTTTATCATCACTTTTGATCAATTAAAAGCATGCTTGCTAAATAAAACTATTCATTTCTATACTTTTTCAAAAGTAAAAAAAATTAAATAAATAAATAAATCATACCGACTCTAAGCTTTTGAATGGTAGAGTGTATACTACAGAATATTAGTGAAAGTGAAAGTGAAAGTGACGTG